CAGCAATCAAATCATCAAGCTCTTCCTCATTCTCGCCCTCGAGTTCCTCATCAGTTACCTCGTCATCAGAGTCAACCAAGATCCTCTTTTTGGTCACACGTTCTACCTTGAAAATAACAGGGAGTCGCATGTAAAAAAATAAGCGGTGTAGGTATCTTCCTTACCTTATCCTTGTTCAAAAGGGCACCAGAGGAATCGAAGCGAACTTCAAAGCCTTCCTTTTTGCTCTTCTTCTTGGGTTCATTCGAAACATCGGCGTCAATAGAGATGTGGCCACGCTTATTCTTCTAAAATATCGTATGAAAAACAAGTAAACGATTTTTGAAGGACTTATGCGCTGGATCGGCTCACCTCTGCATTCATTCTTGCGATTCTGAGCGATTCCATTTCTTCTAGATGATGCTTCTCTTCCGCTGCAAGTTCTTCCGCTGTTTTCGTGCGTTCAGCTGGAGTAGCTCGTGCATCGGCATCAATTTTGAGACTCAAAGCCTGGGTAAAGACGATTGAGATAAAAACTGATGAATAAATGGAAACATGAATATATTTGATATGGGTGAGAAAAAGTTAGTAACCAACCAGCTGGTCGTAGTCATCTTTTTGCGGTTTCTCAGATTTTGTAGCTCCAACGGGACGAAAAGTGTTCTTTACTTTATCCAGAATTTTCAGATACTTAGCATCTAATTCTTCTGTGGCCGTTTCCTAAAACCAAAGCATAATCACTATGATATGAGAGTCAAAACAAATAACTTTACCATATCATCCTTTGCATTCTGCTTACTTTCTCTAGCCTGCCGAGTCTTGGCAATAAGCTCAGCAATTATATCTTTTCGACTGGGCTTTTCGTCACCATTTCTGGTGGAATCGAGATCGCCACCACCAAAGTGCGCAACTTTGACCTTATGTAAAAATTACACAAGGATTGAAGAAGTCTACCAGAAAAAAGCTCACCACATCAGCACTAATGTTGCCAGCATCGTCTTCATCATCGGATGCTATGATCTTGTCATACTTTTGTACACTTGTCAACTCTTTTCCGCCATGTGTAAGTACTTCTATAAAGAGTGAGCTAGAAAATTGAGAAGAAGGCTAGAGCTAAAAAAATCCTACTATCTTCGCACACATGCAATATTCATTGCAGTTCAAGCCCTACCATTGAAACAAGTCAATGGTTGCAGCTATGTTATTTTGAACAAATTACCACAAAGAATTTGAGGGAAAATGCTCAATGGCAACGACATACAAAGCGTACCGAGCCTCTAGTTCCCAGAATAGGTACTGATACTAAGGCTGGCGTCATACTTGAGCGGCACAGTTCCAGCA